TATCAGCGATTAAAGGCCCTCGACCAACTATTTCATGAGTGCAGATTAGAGGACTTGAGAGAACAGGTTTAACCTCCCGAGGCGGCGAAAGGCAAACTAAACTAGTTCCCTCCAGTGGTACAACATAGAGGAGCATAATAAAGCAGCAGCTAGAAGGTTTAATCAACATTTCTCGAAAAAAAGTGGGAGAGCGCAAGAGAAAAAAAATATATACATATACATATATATATATATTGAATAATTGAAAAGAACAAAGATGACTCCAAAAAGTAAACAAAAACAGATATTAGGAACTTAGTCAAAATGCTCAAACTAACCATCATTGCTGGCTGTTGTACGATCCCAAATAATCGAATGAGATTGGGGTGCTGAAGCTTAAGGAGATGACTTGCTTCTACTTCCAAATCTTCGATGAGAGAAGGTGAGACATCCCTCAGGATTTTCAGCGCAACATCTACTTTCGTGCCGCTAGGATGATACCATATCGCGCGTTTTACTACAGAAAATGTTCCCTCGCCGATAGTTTCCATAATTTTTATCTGGAATTTTACAAACTGATGATGACATGGGGGAAATTTCAAAAGTTCTCTACCTGTTCTTTAGCTATAATTGCCTTTTTTATCTCAGATGAACTGCTATTTGCAAGGTTTTCATTTGGTATAAATACAATTTCCGACTTTACATTCCTGTTGTTGACCAGTTGTTGGACTTGAGCAGTACATCTCCTCAGTTCTTGTATTTGTAACTGTGAAAGCCCAATTGCCTAGAAACAAACGCCTGGAAATGTTCAGCTCACAAGCCTATAGTGTACCTGGAATTCCTTATCTTGTACATGACTGATATGATCTAGTCGTCTAATGTTCAAAGAGAACACTAGTTTTTGCTGGAAGTCTTCAACGTTGGCTAACTTCCAGACATCCAGTAGATCTTTCTCAATGGAAGCCCCCGCCCCGGGGTTTGACATATCTAAATAAACGATAAGTCAATGAGCTGCTACAATAACATGCCATTAAGATCCAAAATGGAGATTTTTAAGAGGTTAAGCGACATTAATTAATGG